TGTTTGACCTTTGACATGTGTTCGACAAAATGAATGTTTTGCCTTGTTTGATGCAATTGATGATGTTTTCATGTAATCCATGTTGTGATCCTGTGCACACTGATTCTTGATGGACTTAACTTGGGTTTGGGAGTTTAGTTGGATTTTATTTGGACATGCTTTTATTTTTAGATGTTGCAGCAAGCTCTTGTTGTTTTAATCATGTGTGTATGTGTCTATCTTGACCTAATCTTTTGAGTTTGTCTCTTGTGTGATTCTATGTATGCTTGGTGAGTCTTGTATGCTCTTGATGACATGTTTGAGATTATGATTTTCATGATTATAGGTTCATTAAATGTTTATTTCACCTCATGTGCTTTATATGATCATGTGTTCCTTTTGTGGTTGACTTGTGAGATGTTTTCATAACTTTTTGTGCTTCAATTTGAGTTTGACCCTTCTTGATCTTGATTGATAATTTGAATTTGAACTTGATGCATATCATTTGAATTTTCTTCTGATCTTGTTGATTTGATACTTAATCTTGATGCTTTTGTGGTATGTGCTTTACTTTGAGAATGATTGGGATGCATGAATTTGTTTTGAAGTGTGTTTGGATGTTTTCCTTTGAATGTTCATGAATGAATGCTTTATTTTGATAATCATGATGTTGTTGTTGCCCTATTCTATCTCTCCCCTCACTTAATTGTTTGTGGTTTAGTGATTGACATCACTCTTTCTAGGATATTTAAGACATTTGAATATGTGAGAGTGATTGTGTTGTCGGGATGTTTTGATCTTTTGACTTGGTGTGACATGTGATTGTGCCTTTGATGTCTTAACTTGATATTGGGTTCCATCTTGCAGGGTTGAGATATGAGTTTGGTTTGAATCATTTTGCTTCGAACTACTTTATTTTTCCATCTTCATTGCATTTCTTTCATTTTTCTTTCTTCTCTTTCATCTTTCATGACTTGCTTAAATCTTACTTTTGTTTTCATTTGTGATTGATTAGTGGTGTGTTTACTTGTGATTGCTCACATGATCCCTTAGGATTCCTAGTCCCTCTATTTAATATGGGAGTAGGAGAGACATTAGGCTTTCAATCCTATGTATGTTAACATTAGGTAGACTTCCCTTTCATCCTAACCTTAGGACCATTTTGTATGACAATATTAGGGTTCTCAGCTCCCTTTAGTGTTCTTGTGTTTTCTCTTCTCATCTCAAACTTCTCTAAGACATTTAATAAAGAATGATAAATGTTGTACGCTACGGGCCTTAAGTACATGAGAAATGATAAGTGGGGGGGGGGGGGGGGGGGGGGGGGTTCCTCCTCACTTGGCTAGAGTGTTTAGCGTATGCCCTTTGGGCGATATGTTAAGCATTCGCTCTTGTGTCATAGCCTTTAGTGCAACGTAAGTCACAAATCAATTCAATCCACTTCTTCTAAAATTCACAAACAAAACTCAAACATTTTCATCCTTCGAGATTGTTTCAAACTTCATTTTCAAAAGAGTACGTCGTTTCTCTGTTCTGCCGCAAACAGGCATCGTCCCTAACTGCTGGAATGTAGATTTAACGTCGCTCATACAAAACACTTAACCAGTCAGTGGTCTAGTTTGCCCGAACTACGTTTGCTCTGATTTCTCATACCAGATGAGGATATGTAGGCACAAGACGGAGATGTCTTGGCGAGCAACCTCCCTCCATCACCCGTAGTTTTCCAAACTACATTGACTCTGACTTTCCCATTGCACGAGAGAATACGTAGGCATAGGACGACAATGTCCTATCGAGTCTCTTCTTTTCTTTCTCCCCCGTTTAGCAGTAGTTTTTAGATAGTTTTTCACCCATAGATTAGACAACAAGCGTAGATCTCGTTGAGTACAACGGACATGAGGGGTGCTCATATCTTTCCCTTGCGTAACCGACTACCGAACCCAAGATTTAGTTGTGACGACCTTGTCTTTCCCGTTCTTTTAGGTTTTCTTCGATCGTTTCTTTTCCCTATCTTTGGGATAAATAATGTTCGGTGGCGACTCTTTTGTTTGTTTCGGTCGATTTTTTCGCAGTTGCGACACCAGGTTTCCTAAATTCAGGATATTTATGAGAAGCACTATGAGTGTTTTTCTCATTTTTCCAAGAACCCTCACCAGAATGAGGTTTAGCATGAAAAGTTAGGAAGTCTGAATCACTTCTTTCCTTCTTGAATTTCTCTTCTTTAGCTAAACACTTGGCAATAGCAGTAAGATATTCTTTAGCATTCTCTTTCTCAGACAACCCACTTATCAAACATTCAGAAATGGTTCTCTTCATAGCACACAAGCTAAGTAGGTCACTTCTCTCCCACTTACCTAATTTTTCTTTCTTCTCAAGTGTACTCTGAACATTGATTACAGGATTGGTTTCATGCAATTCCATGTCAAGGTCAACAATCCCTAATAAAGACTCTAAGTCTTTCTTCAATTTATTAAAATTAGACTCATTCAGGATCTCAATAGAAGTAGAACAATTGTTCATAAAGAAGGTTACTGTTATGACACAATAGGAATGCATTAAAACAATTAATAAAGTCAAGATATAGCTTTAATGAACATAAGCTATCATGAAGAGGTCAACAATGTCACACAATCCCCTTGGGGTGGAATGTGCAAAATCCAGATTACAACCAAGGTCAGAATCTCAGATAAGTTACTCAATAAATATACTTTTAGTTCGAAAATCTATCTTCTTTGTTTAGATAAATTCTCTAAATCAAAACACCTCCAATAATTTCATCTACGAATTTCAAGAATAAGTTACTCAGTGAGCGTACATTGAGTTTAGAAATTTATCTCCTTTGGATAAATAAATCCGTTGAACTCAAACATCTTCAATAACTATATCCTTAATTAACCACAATCTTTACATGCAGATTGTCAACCTTTGGAAAGACAATCATATTAATAACTTAAAATCATTCCTCAAACTACAAAGAAGTTTTTATAAATTAAAATAAGTAATCTCACTTTGGTAGTAATCACACACAATTATGTATACAATTTCTTGCATAAAAATCAAATTTCTCTTGCCAAAATAAATCATGAACCATTCATAAATTTAAACAATATAGCATTCCCAATCATTTTTTTCTCCCAACAATATTTGTCTTCAACAGTATCAATCTCGATATTATAAGAGATATTATATAATATTTCAAAATATTTGACAAAACATATGTATCATAAATTTATATAAACTAATATTTATTTAATAAATGTCCAAGACAATACAATTTAAAACTAATATTTATTTCAATATATATATATATATATATATATATATATATATATTTCAATTGACAATTGGTTGAACAATTGAAAAGGATTTATACGCTATCATTACAATTCTAAAATATTGAAAACAAAATATATATATATATATATATATATATATATATATATATATATATATATATATATATATATATATATATATATATATATATATATATATATATATATATATATATATATATATATATATATATAGTTCAATTGACAATTGGTTGAACAATTGAAAAGGATTTATACACTGTATCATTACAATTCTAAAATATTGAAAACAAAAAATTTTGACTCAGTATCACAATTGAAAATCACAACGTGAAAATCAATATCAATTACTTGGCAATAGTTTATTATCCATAGTATTGCAACTGAATAGTTTATTATATAATTCTAACAATCAATATCAATTACAAATTGTCATGTCATAGAAAAGTGGATCAAAACGTAAGGCAGTAATACATATCACGTTTGTATTACAGAATGTAAAATACACAAAACTATGCAAGTTAATCCAAGTAACAATTGGATATAATAAATTATCCATAGACAGCAGGGAAAGGGAAAAAACAAAACCCAATAAAAACAACCAAATAAACAAAATAGTGACTCACAATCATATTAAAGTATAATTATATATATTAATAATAAATAATTGAGTCACAACTCATATAACTCAATTATAATTAAGTTCTGATACCATATATAAGCAGAAAAGTTCGCTATCAATTATATGAAATTAAAACATCAATATCAATACTTACTTGTTGAAGTCATGATTCGATCCGAAAAGATGAAAGACTGGATCTTCCTCTGTATCTCACACTCCTTCACAATCACAATGGAGCAAATTGTGGAGCCGTCAGTTGTGTTTTTTATTCTTGTGATTACAGAGGAGACTTAGCCATATATATATATATATATATATATATATATATATATATATATATATATATATATATATATATATATATATATATATATATATATATATATATATATATATATATATATATATATATATATATATATATATATATATATATATATATATATATGCACCCCCATCAGAATCACGATTAACCCGTTTTTCACAAACTAAACAATAATTGATTGTAGCCCATAAAAAATTAAAAAAATCTAACAATGAATAGATGACTTATGCAGCTTTTCAGATCTTTCTGATCACATCTTGTAGTTGCAGCATTTCTAATAAGAAAGCATGAGGAGCTTTGCTTATTACCCATTATTACTTATTATATTACCTATTATTAGTATACAAGCACAAATATAGACCTTCATTGCAACAAAGATAGACCTTCATTGCAACAAAGACAAAGAGGAGACAAGACAGTAAAAGATTGAATGACATATGAATAGATGAATTATGCAGCTTTTCAGATCTTTCTGATCACATCTTGTAGTTGCAGCATTTCTAATAAGAAAGCATGAGGAGCTTTGCTTACATAAGAAAATTCATGGTGGTAAAAACAAGAATTCAATGGTACTTACTATATTACCTATTATTAGTATACAAGCACACAGAATTATACATCCCATTGACAGATCACAGCTTGGAAAAATATCTAAAAATTTCTTTTACTTACGGGTTTCTTTCGATCCAAGTAGGATCAACTTCCAGACAAATAGGTCGTTTTACTATGCTCCATTTGCTAATCATACTAACAACTTGAATTAGTAATGCTCCCGATATATTGCTCCGAACTCCGATTTCCATGCTTGATCATCATAAGCATAGGAAGAAGTTGTATTATTGTGTATTGTATCAGAATTCTCTTGATACAGTGGCTTCAATGCAGACTCTGGCAATTTGCTCTCTGTAATATACTGCTTAATGGTATTAATCTCTGTCTTATGTTTTCTATTCAGCTTCTCCACTTCCCTTTTTAACTCTTCGTTATCTCGTCGCACATTTGCAAAATTTTCCTGTATAACATAAGAAATGTAATGATAACAAATAATGAATCAGAAACAACACATGCATATTGGGATGCATTGATTGAAGATCCTTTTTGTAAGGTAAAATTGTACCTCGGCAACATATGCTGCTTGTTCAGCTTCTCTTAGTCTAACGAGTAGTTCCCCAGCAGCCTGAACAGCTTCGGCAGTGTCACGAAGTTGAATTTTCAAACACTGGTTCTCCTTTTTCAATAACTTCGACTCCCTTTCCCTCTCCATCCTCAATGCAGAAAGCTCGGCAGAAAGAGATTTGGCAAATCGTGCTTGACCTTTTTTCGAGGCTTTTGCCACTGCCTTCTTCAATTCGGATATCCCTTCCTTCATAGCATCATGCTTAGAAGCCAAGTCATCATATTTTTCTTGTAGATCGGTATAGTGTTCTACCATTCTACCATGCCCGTTAACAGCTCTTTTTAGTGCATCGTCCATCTCTTCTCTTCCTTTCTTCTCCAAATTCAGTTCAGATTCCAATTTCTCTGCATGCTGGCGATACGACTCAAGATCAGCTCTAAGTTCATCAGTAAGACAAATCCAATCACTTTCCATTTCTGTCCATCTCTGTCTTTCGTTTTCCAGCTCCTCGTTCCTATTATCTTGAGAAAATACGCCACTTTTTTGTAGTTGGATGGATCTTGACATTAAAGAAGATCTAAGTTTGTCTGTAGACATTTTGACTGGCGCGTTGTTGCATAATTGCAGCTTTCTTCTTAGACTCTGAATTTCTTGAAGAAGTGATTCCTTCTCAGTTGAATCAAAAAAGATGTCTCTCTGGGCTAACTCTTCTTGGACTTTAGTTTCGCATTTCTCCTCTATACTACTATACAGTGAATGACCATTTGAGGAAGTGCCCCATAGAAGCTGCAAATGACACAGAACAAATCAGAACAAACTGTCATCTGGATAGATTTTGATTGTATAAAATAAAATTTAAGACCAAAATTGACCTTGTTTTCATCCTTCATGGAATTATACTCGTCACACTGACCAGGCATAGAAGTGGAATTCAGATTTTTCTCTCCTTTCAACTTATCCACCTGGAAACAAATCCACGTTGTCAGTAGATGTAATGACCAACCACAAACATAATTCAGAAAGGTAGAATCTTAATACCAATTGATTTAGTTGTTCAATTCTAGCTGCTTGCTCCTTACAAACATTCTCAAGCTCCTTCTCTCTCATGTTGCCTTTTGCTATTACATTTTCCAAATTCTTCAAGAGCGAGAAAAAGGAGAAATGAAGTCAATAAAAATTACTTTTAAACGATAAACTAATGGAGATTAAGTTGAAACATACTTTTGGAATTGGAACTTTATCTGTCAAATCTGTACTACAAGACGCACAAAGGAATGTGGAAGTAACTTCATCATTGGAAACTTTCTGTCGTATTGTTTGATCATAAGGTTGAACCTTATCAATCTCTGGACATGGTGTCAAAGTTAAGTGGTCAAAGGAGAAGGAACTTGAAGATTTGTTCAATGTCGAGTTCTGTTGGTGATAGTCAATTATCTGCAATCCCCTCTGGAGGCTTTCTGCCAAGAAATCAGCTTTGTTCGACTGCGACGAGGCTTTCTTATGCTCACCCTGTTTCAATGACTTTCCTAAAACATCATCCCCAAATGCTGAACTCTCTTCAACAGTATTCCTACTTCCTAGATAACTCGACGATATAGCTACACTTTTCCTTTTGGTGTTGCTGAATTTCGGAGACTCGGACAGTGGTGGTTCTTCAAGTATTGGAGATTTGCTGAATGAAATGGCTGAAATGTTATTGCCAACAGAATTTTTATCGCCTATGGCTGTGTCTGCATCATAATATTCATCAAAAGAATAAAACTGAACACCATCTTCGGCAATAGACAAGTCTTTTGTATTCCATTCACATGAACTGTCTAATTCATCAATTTGCTGGTGTAATTGCCTTATGTCATCCTCGTTGATATTTGCAGCTTCATCAGTATTACTATCTAAGTTGGACAGGAGTAGAGAACGGTTTAAGCTGACTCTCAACTGATTAAGACTTTCTCGTGCATTCTGTCCTTGGAAGCATCCATTATTTTTACTCACAGCTGAGCTATGGACATCATCGGCCTTTGCTCTAATAAGTTCTTCCTGAACCAAAGAAAACACATTGTAATTAAAAAATTGCATCAGTCTAATCCTTCTAAAATTCTTTCAAGTGAAAAGCCTGGGAGTTTACCTTCAAGAGCCGGATTTTACCACTCAAATCATCGGCCTCCTTTATTATATTAATAATCGGCTTGTTTCTAAGGGATCTTACTTGCGCCCCAAATCTGAGTGTGCAGAGTGTTTCATCAATGCTCCTACATACAAAAAGTTGAATCTTTATCGCTAGAATCAACACTTTCCTATTACTCTATAGATAATGACATTATGCTCTTTGTAAGTTTTTCCCTAATTTTAAGCCCTTCTTTATATTTTAAAAAAAAAAAATTGTCCCTAAACAAAGCACCTACTCAAATTAATAGATAGATTTAATAGCTTTTTTCAAATTTGTAATACTACCAAACTATCATGGAAAATGGAAAGTCGGAATTTAACACAAGTATACACAGGATAATTTAATAATAGTTATACACAATATATGCATTAATTACACTCCTAATTTGTCTTCATATATGTGGAAAGTGCCAAAGGTATTTATAAAAATGAAGAGGAGGGTAGTACTTGCTATCAAGGGAGATTGAACATATTACTGAGAGTTTGGCATTTCCACCAAGTGATTCTTGTAGCAACCGAGTTAAACAAGTGTTACTGCGTGGAATGTCTTCATTTTCTCCTGGCTGAGATTTGTCAGTAAGAGCATCCACAAAATGCCTACACCAAAGAAGATAATCTCTTAATTGTGTGTTTCAACCTACTGAAAAACTATCCAAACAAGTTGTACTAGAAGATATATAAATTTGAACTAAGAAGTCATTTAGAGCCCTGTGAGACTATTTGGTAGACCTTATGACAAGTCCATAAATTATTTTTACCTTATTTCGATAAGCTCTCCTTAATAGCTTAAGAAAATAACTTATATTGAAAATCAGTTAGACTTTTTTTTTATCTTTTGTTATAGAAATAACTTATACATAAGCCGTTACATGATAAGTGATTATGCTACAAACTCTTAATTAAGTTGTTTATCCAAACAATGTCTTTGTCATGGCATCTTACCCAAGCTGAGATAATGATTTCTCTACATATACGTTTTCCCATTGATATTGGCTGCTTCCACTGTCAACTCTATCCCTATCCAGTCCAGCAAGATCAATAAGGCTGATTCGGCTAGCTTTTAAACTACTGAAACCCTTTGCGATCCCCTGAAGCATCAGTTAATGAAAATCATATTTAGCATCATAAACCATAGTTTCTTTCTCCATGCCAATAGTAGAAACATTAGGTGGAATGATTATAAAGTATGGCATTACCTTACACAAAGACTCAATTACAAAAGTAAAAATGATATGTGATCTCGAGCTATTAGAATTTATGCTTGTTGCTCCGATTTTTCTGCTTGACAAGCCCTGCAGCACAAATGTTATAGTTGATCAAGAATTGCACAAATAAATTAAAAGAAAAACAACACAGGAATAATGGACAAATGCATGAAATTGCTTGACAAAAATATCTGTTAACAAAAACAAGTATTCAGCTTCTTATAAATAGCATACAGAAATCTGATTTTCAACAGTATATGCTTTGATGATTCTCTACCTTGATCAGAATTTGAACCACATCATCATAGCATGTGACATATTCCTCAATCAGATTCTCAAAATATAGTCCATTTTTGGAGTCATCTTTCATCTGCGATGTAATATGGACGAAACAATAGTTATAATAAGCATGCAGCACTTAAAACAGAAGTAGAAAATGATATGCATGTTGTAAAACCATACCACAAATGATAGGAGTATAGACATACCTCAAGGTTCTTCTGGTTTGGATTGAGTAAATTCCCAATTTGATCGTCGTATATCTATAGCAAAACACGGAAAGAACGTAGAAAGACAAAATGCATTAGCGATTCTATCGGACAAGCTCACTGCTACATTGAGAAGCTTTACAAACAAGTCCAAGTTCAAATTTACCTCAAGAAAAGAACAACGGCATTTATAGCTGAATTGTTTCTGGTCAGACACAAGTCTCTCCTAATTTAGCAATTCAAACGCAAACAGTCAAAACTCAAAAACCATAACACAGAAATTTACTAGTTATGACAATCACCGTAGGAAGTAGAACATACTCTTTCAAGCTCAGAAAATAACATTTGGAAGATCCGAGGAACAATTCCCTGAGGGCTACGACACGAGGGATCCTCAGCCATGGAGCTCGGTGGACCCCACAATGTATAAGTCTTTCCGCTTCCAGACTAATAAAGAAGTACAATGCAAGTAAGTGCAACCTCAATATTCCATAAAAAGTGCTGCAAAATTTATCACTAGAAAGTTCAAAAGTACAACAAGCAATGCATCAATATATACCTGGCCATATGACAAAACCGAAGTGTTGTAACCAGCTAAAGCATTTCGAACCAAAGGAACACCCACCGACTGAAAAATATCTTCCTGAACATACAACAGCTCATAAATCAGCTTGATGGTTAAGCTTCTCTTATGCATACAAAGCAACAACAATCAAGTCTTATCCAACTATGTGTGTTGACTATATATATTGAATAATGTCATAATATTCTATCCTAATCTCTTATCTGCATACGAAGCAAGAAAATTAAACCAAAATAAGTAAAATTACTTAAATTCCTTCATTCTAACAGCAAACTCAATAAATTCCCAATTAAACCAAGGTCATAACATATGATGCAACAAAATTAAACCATATAAGTAGAATTACTTATATTTCTTCATTCTAACAGAAAATTCAAATAATTTCCAATTACCCTTAACTCAAATCATGTAAAACTAATGAAGATCTGAAGCAAAATTACCTGATTAGAGTTAGCATCAAAAACTTCATCAAATTTGAGAAGTCTATCCCCAACACACAAGGCATCAGAAGAAACCTTGTTAGCTATACAATCCCCCTCTTTTACATCAGGTCTAATTCTCACCACAACCTGTTCCAAAACAACACAGATTAGTAAAGGTTAAATAAACATTGAAAAATGAAACAAAAACGGAAGCAAAAAAATTATGAATTGCCTTGACATGTGGGTTGTTATGAGAAAATTGGATTTTAGGGTTTGGTTGAGTTTGATGATGTGTGATGGGTATGTTTGAGTGGACTGGAGGAATGTTTTCAAGATTAGATTTAGGGTTTGAAGAATTGGGTTTGCGGAAGGAAGAAAGAGGAAGAAGCTTTTTGATGGAAGTGGAAGAGATGCTTCCAAAGAAACCAGTATCTGGGTTGTTGTTGTTGTTGTTGTTGTTGCTCTTTTGCTTCATGTTCATGGTTAGAGATTGAGAGAGAGAGAGAGAGAGAGAGAGAGAGAGAGAGAGAGAGAGAGAGAGAGAGAGAGAGAGATTTCAAATGTTGGAAAGAGGGGGAAGAGGAAGAAGAAGAGTCTGTTCAGCTGAAATGAACGTTATGAATTTTTATTTGAAATATATAAAAATTGGGTTTGAAAGTTTTATATTGAAAAAATTAAGTTTTATATTTAAAAAAAAATGCATAATTTACAATGCAAATTTTCTATTTTGATTTTTTAATATATCTTTTAGGGACATGAATTGGAATTTTTTAAAGTTAAACTTGTTCATTATTTTTTTTTTATTGCAAAACAACAAATATAACCTGGTTTTATTACAAAACAACAAGTATAACCTAAAACTATTTAATTTATATGAAGGATAATTTTAACTTGGTTGACACTATTATGTGCTTGCAAAATATGTTAAACCGATCATAGAGATATATGATGGAACCTACTATATTATCAGACATACTAAACTTTTTTAAAATAATAAGCAAAAGGATTTAAATAAAATGTCTATTTAAGAAAATATGAATAATATTTATATTCATTTTTGCTATTACATGATTTTGTCTAAGTTTGCTTTGTCAATTGAGGATGAAAATAGATTATATATATACTGCACTATTAAACATAGTAGACTTTTTTAAAAATAATGTTGACTAAAAAAACTTATTTTAACTAAAGAATATATTAGAATCAATGCTTAAAAAAAAATCTTTTACTTCTATTAGATCGACTAACTTAAACAAATATAATAGTGTTTACATTTATTTTTAATATGTTATATTTTGTGTTAATCATTTTAATATTTTTCTTTACAAAAACATAAAATATTTTCACTCATTTAAGCATATTAACTTATACTAATTTTTGACATATTTAAATATATTATTATAAAATATAATATAAATATATTGTCATATAAAATTATATTATTTACATGTGATATCATGTTAAATCTCAAAATAGGAATTAATTTCGTTGACATTTTTTTTCTATGGTTAGCCTATTTAAATGTGTTAGGTTACTTATTTAAATATTTAAAAAATGGTTAATGAATTTTTAGGTCTCTTTAAATATTGTAGATTTCGTTTTTAGTCTCTCAAAAAAATTTCGTCTAAATTATTGGTTTCTAACGTCAAATGCAACTAACGGCTGTTTATGTGGCAGGACAGGTGGAATAAATTATTAATTTTTTTTACTGAGATGGATTTCATTGTGTACAATGAGCCAATTTAAAAGATGATTGTGTTTTCATTTGACCTAAATTAATTCCCCTTTGTTCATCTTCTTCCTCCATCGTGAAATTCCTTGTTCATCGGTCCCTTGCTAGCTTTGTTCATCTTGTTTGCTTTGTTCATCCTCTTCCTGCGTCTTTATAAGCAATGTCTTCTGCTTCTGTGAAATCTCGTTTGGGGGAGTTTTGTGCTTGTCAGGTTCATATGGTGTCGTATCAATGCAAGAATGGACCAAATAAAGGAAGGTTGTTTTGGAGATGTCCTTATGGAGGAGTGTTAATACGTGTAATTTGTTCATATGGGATGAAGATCTTGCAGAAAAATCTGGAAATGAAAATGGAGCCATTACGAACTTAGAGTTGGAAGTCACGGCACATGTGGGATATATGAAGTCCTTGTATGAAGAATCAAGGAAGAAGAACAAGAACTTAAATACCAAGTTGAAAAAAAGAGAAATTTCATGAAACATTGAAGATGTTCTTTATTGCCATGTCCTTTATGATTAATATGTATTTTGTTATGAAATGTAGTTGTTGAATTGGGTGTAATGTTATGAATTTGTAATGTTGTTGTTGAACTTGATTAGTGTTGGGATGTAGTTGTTGAACTTGTTTAATATACTAAATGTTCAATGTAGTTGTTGAAATTGATTAATGTTGCACTGTGATGAGTTTTAGACAACTCTGTGATGTATTAAATCTTGCAATGTAGAATATGTGATGTAGTAGTTGTTGCAATGTAGTTGTTGCAATATATTTTGTTATGATGAAGTTGATAGATTTTGTATAATTTTGGCATAAAAAGGTTGTAACATTAGATTGATGACATAAGAGTACATTAGGTTGTGATAAATTTTGCAAAAATTTGGCATAAAAAGGTTGTAACATTTGGCAAGATGATTTAAGAGTACGTCAGACGGAATTTAGACAGAATACAAAATACATTAGATTGATGACATAAGAGTACATTGCATTGATTACATAAGTTTCAAAATACAACTTAGTCATAGTACATAAGTTTCGAAATACATCAAAAGAGCAATGCTGACATAGTCATAGTACATAAGTTTCAAAACAAAACACATTAGATTCATTAGATTCATATTACATAAGTTCCAAACATAGGTTCCTAACACTGGCACTGGCAACACATAAGTCTTCACTGAGTCATGCTCTTCTGGATGTCATCTGAAGTCTTCTTCCCCCTAAAACTTGTGTCTTCCTCAGGAATAACAAATGGATCACTTGGATCCCTCCCAGGTCCCACAATGTCACGTGTCTTCATAGTCCTAAGTCTGTCACTTTGTCTTTTTGGAATTGCAACTTTCTTGGACTTTTTCCTTTGTGATATCATTATTTCCACCTGTTATAACAACATAAAGTTATGAAGGTAATAAACATTAAAAAAACCAAACACATTTAGTGGAACAAGTTACACACTTACAGGATCACTCATACTTGGCTTGTTGGCTTCAGTTGGCATTAGTTTGATATTAGGCTTAGGCATTTTTCATCTTGGACCTAGGAAGGTTCTGATAGCAGGTTTTGGCACTTTTGGTTTTGGACCAAAGAAATTTTTGACAGCAGGCTTAATAGGGTTATCATTTACAGGCTCTTTGACATTGCTAATTGGTTTTGCAAGACTAGTATAAATACTAAGTGGTTCAATGTCTAGTATGTCATCATCATTCAACAATGATGCCAACTCATCAAGATCTATACCACAATACATTTTCATTGCCTCGGCAGAGCTTAGAAAAGATTGTGTAGTAGGATTTACCTTAGATTGAGTAGGAGTTTCTTCAGGTTGTGCAGGGGTTTCTTCAGGTTGTGCAACAACTTCAGTTTCAGGTTGTGCAATAGTTGGACCTTCAGGTTGTGCAGCATTTGGACCTTCAGGTTATGCATTGGTGGAACTTCAATTTATGCAGTAGTTGGACCTTTGGGTTATGCATTGGTTGGAGACTTATTTTCTGCAGTAAACTTAGTTTTTTTTTACTTGTGCCTCCTTTCTTTATAGCCCATTTTAGCCTACCCTGCAACATAGAAACTTGAAACAAATCATTGAAATATTAAATGAAATATTGAACTTTGTTGCCACAATTGGAGTGTTACTAACCCTCTTCTTTGGTCCTATCTCCACATTTGGAGTTTGGCTACCTTGGATAAGTGCTTCAACATCTCTTGGCAATTCACCATCAATAACAGCAAGTTGTTTGTTTTTATTACATGTTCTTATATTGTGCTCATATTCTAAGCATCTCTTGCACTTATGGCTTGTATTTGTCCTTTGCTATCTTGTTTGGGATGCCTCATCTGCCTCTCTTCTATGTTTCTTTGGTCTCCCTGAACCTCTCTTGAAACTTGGTGGCAATATTCCAGGATCAGCAGTCTTTGGCCATTGATGGGAGTGATAACTTCATTGTAACATGATACATAAGTAGTCCTATGATAAAAATTGTGTACATACTTAATGGGATCATTAACCTTCCTATGTATGGCTGCAACAACATGTCTACAAGGGATCCCAATCAAGTCCCAAAAGTTACACGAATAAGTATGATTTGCCAAGTCTACAACAAAACTATTTGTGAACATTACATGAGTTACTTGAAATGTTAACCTACCTGCATATGTTAGCAATCAATTTTCACTTTTTTCTATCTCCCTATCTAACCTTCTAAGTGGTTTAGACATGATCTCCCCTTTGTAATTTTCTACATTCTCCTTAAGAGTGACAAACCTACCCATAAGATAGTTCCTAATTCACTCAAACATGGTAATAATAGGTTTATCCCTTTGCATCAAAATAGTTGCATTGAATAATTCACTAAGATTGTTCATCAAAACATCACACTTAGAGTAAAAGGGAAATGTATGCTTACACCACTTCTGTTTGGGAATAGCATTTGATCCTAAACGATGTAGTTCTTAAAACTCTGTTGTATAGCACAATGTAGTCACATTGTTTGTCTTTATAAATAACCCTGCAACTATTAGAATCATTTTTGGAAAACCTTACCTCCCTACCATTCAACACATTGTGTTCCAGTACAGCCTTCTTAAATTGCTTCAAAAATGAAAATTCCATTCCTACCTTAAATAAGAATTTATTTCTAATTTTTTCATCTTCATTAAACCTTATCACTGCAAGCCTATCATTACTACTATCATCATCTGCTCCACTGTCAAGCTCATCAGTCATGTAATCATCTTCTATTACATGTTCCCCATCCATCTCAGCTGTAGTAAAACCTTTATTTTTTTCCCTTAACCTGAAACAACACCATCAATAGTCTATCTTCTAAACTCACCATTATCCACTCCATTGTTTAAACCTTCACCTATGTCTTCATCAAAATCGTGCATTCTCTCTTCTTCACTATCTTCAAAGTGTATACCATTCAAAGAGTATTCATATGAATCACTATCCTTAGCACCCTCATTTGATCCTAAACGATGTAGTTCTTAAAACTCTGTTTCTCTATTAACCTCTCCATATAAGTCTTCTTACCAGTTGATAATTTTGGCTCTGTGTATATCTCAACATCACACTTACTCTTCTCAGCATACAAAGCTAACATTGTTGCATCCTCATCATTAACAAAAGGTTTTAAATCCTTTTCAAGACAACCATGTTTATCCTTCCACCACATTTTCACATCATCAATGTTAAAAGAATAGTACATCCCCTTAATTAAGTCACAAGCTTCTAAGTATGACCAAAAATTAGAGTC